TGCTGCGACGTCGGCATCATGGGTGAGTGTGGCGTGCGCATCGTGCTAAGAGCTATCGTGTTGTGTGGTGTCGTGGCGTGCTGTCGTGTGTAGCGTGGCGTGGCGTGGTTGTCATTGTACGTGTGTTTGCTACGACGTCGGCATCATGGGTGAGTGTGGCGCGCGCATCGTGCTAAGAGCTATCGTGTTGTGTGGTGTCGTGGCGTGCTGTCGTGTGTAGCATGGCGTGGCGTGGTTGTCGTTGTACGTGTGTTTGCTGCGACGTCGGTATCATGGGTGAGTGTGGCACGCGCATCGTTTGCTGACACGCTGTCGTGTGTGTTGCGGTGTGGCGAGAGGTTTGGCTGTCGGAGTGAACGGTTGTTGTACGTGTGCTTGGGTGTGCGTTTAAAGTTGCCGGTGCGGGTGTACGAGTGCGGGCCTGCGTGTGAGTGTGTGTGTGTGTGTGTGTGTGTGTGCGTACGTTTGATCGTGTAAGTGCGTGTACGATTGCAGGCCTGCGTGTAAGTTTGCATGCACATGCATGTGCGCATGCGTGCGAGCGTGTCTGCGTGCGTGTCTGGCCCTGGCTTCTAATATCAGTAATGTGGAACTCTATTACGTAGCGTCCTCGTGGAGTCCGGGCTGCGCGGTTTTAGCGCTGTTCTATTATTTGCAGATCTTGGCGCGGGCAGCGACCACGTGAAACACTTGCAGGTGCGCACGTTCATGGGCAAGTTCTCAACGGGGTCGGCCCCGACCGAATTACACACGGTGAGTCGCGCCCCCTGCCAGTTCAGCAGCACCACCTAGCCATTCTCCACCCGATATATATATACACACACACACACACACACACACACACATATATATATATAATATCATATATATGTGTGTGTAAGTTTGTATATTATATAATAGCTTTTTTTGCTGTTATCGTCCTACTTTTACCACTTTTTAATGCTTACTTGTATTTGCGACACAAATATTGCATTTACTATTACATACTGTGCAAATAATACCACGAACATATCTATGTATGTATGTATGTGTGTATGTACGTACGTACGTACGTACGTACGTACGTACACATGCATGCATGCATGTATGTATATATGACGATATATTCGTGGTAGTAGCAAACATCACGATGTAAGCGCTAGCAAACGTCACGATGTAAGCGCTAGCAAACGTCACGATGTAAGCGCTAGCAAACGTCACGATGTAAGCGC